TGTTTGGTTTTGGAGCCAAACACTTCAGAGACATGTTCTGTATATATCTGAGACCTGTAATATATTGATGAAAAACAGTATAATAGGTAGGGATTGTCCGCGATTCACCTTTTTTTTGCTCCGAATCCGATTCCGATCATTTGATTTTGACAATTTGCCGATACAGGATTTTCCCGATCGATTTTATTCAATGCATTAAGAGAAAAAAAGAAAAAAGCATTCAAGTTGTCCCTTAAAGGTTATTTTTTTTAATTTAAATTGGATATTCTATCCAACATGGTATATAGCTTCTTTCTTCATAGAGCAGCATTGGATCAGTTCAGTTTTGCAATTGGATAAAACAAAATAAGCTTTCAGTACTCGTTGCTTACTGCTTCAATTCTAGACATCTGTGCCCTGCCACCACTCTGTTGCCCAGATTTGACGGAGAAATAAGCAACCGGTCTATGAGAACAAGCCCCAAGAAGCATACATGATGTTGTGTAATTTTGAAACTAAAACTAAGGCCTCAGGATGACTTCTTAAGCACTTGAACATGGGTCATTTTTGTTTTGTAACATTGAATTAAAAAAAATGAAAAATCCCGATCCCCGTGATTTTTGTTCTCCCATTCTCCGATCTTTTGAAAATCACGTGATCGGCTCCGATCCCCGATCACGTGATCGGATCGGGACATCTCTAATAATAGGGGACCTTTAACTGTCAGGGCACATTTTTCCAACCCCTTGGATTTTATAAAATATTACAGCTAGTTTTTATCTGACCATTTTTCTCCATTACAACCAACCGGAAGATACTTGCAATCACAAGAATCACCAAACAAATGTTGGTCTTTGCTATGGTAGGTTTCCTCTGCAAGACACAGTCAAAAGACAAGCCTCTCCTACAATTCCTACAGCGACGTCACCGGCACTTTGTTAAGAGTTGAAATGTTTTCAAATTTGAAAGGGCACTATGTAAACACAGGCCCTTTTTTAAAAGTAGCCTTCATGCTACTGCGAACACCATGCATGCACACACAGGAGACAATGTATATATAAAGTGACATAAAAGTGTCCGTTCTCATCAGGCTGAGCATTGAGGTTGTCATACAGGTTGGTTGTGTGTCTTGTGACGTGGATGTGTGCTTCCTGCTTGAAACCACATCCCCTGTATGTTTGTAAATGATTGAGCCTTTCTACCAACACCACCTGGCACCACCTTGCATCATCTACTTCACCCATAAATTCAGTTAACTCTCACCTGATACAGTCATGCCTCTCAAATAAGGGTACTCAAGAAAATTAAGAATGTCTTGAGCTGTCATTCCTCTGAAGGAAATATATTATTCATGATGCACTTACAATTGGGGGTTGGGTTATCGGGCTACTACCCACCAGATGATGGGTGTGGAGCCAAAGGGGGTCAGCCAGAGTTATAAATAATGGATTAAGAGGAAGGGTGGAGGGGCAAGAAATGTTTAGTATTCTTTTGTTTTATTGAATCAAGTCAACAATGAATATTGATTTAATGGCATGTATTCAAATTAAAATGGATGATTATTGAACTAATGACAGCAGCAATTTGAGCACAAACAACGGTTTTATTGTCATGTGCACAAAGGCTACAGCTTATTTTAAACAATACAAACCCTTAAGGCCCAGACTCCTCCGTCAATGCAACATACACTTTACTTAACATCCAACAAAATAAAATAAAATGATGCAATAAAATGGTGAAAGTGACTGAATAGGTAAAATAACTAAACTATTAACTTGTCAAACAGAATAAGATCAATACTAACTGAATGTAAAATGGAATACTCTACAGTGGAGTAACATTGAATACTGCTTAATATATAAATAAATATGTAGACTGTAAAATAAAAAAGAAACGTCAAAACAAAACGATTAAAAGGCAAAGTTGGAGAGGGGCTTGAGACACGTCCGCCATTCACGCCGCCAACATAACAGTGTTGTTGTGTTGCTCTTATCCAGGCAGAACGAGACAAGTCCAGTCTGGCCAGCAAGGTGGAGGACCTGCAGCTCCAGCTAGTGATGTCCAAACAGGCTCTCAGTCAGCAGGCGGACAAAGTGGGATCTCTCACCCAGCAGCTGGAGGAGGTGCAGAGCAGCCAGCGACCCAACGGCGGAGAAGAAGACAAAGGAAACGGAGACGAAGCACAGTTTGATTATGAGGTGGACACCAAGAGCAAGGAGGTGCTGGAGTCCCGCATGCGCTCCGCCAGCGACGACCTCCTGAAGCTGAGAGACGAACTGTCTCAGGCGGGGACGCGTTACAACACCCTGGAGCACCGATACAAGCAGGAGAAGGACCGCTGGAGGGCCGAGGCTCAGGACCTGGCCGACAAGATCCGCCTTTGCATCAAATCCAGCAAGCAGGACGAGGACCGCATCAGTGAGCTGCAGAAGGAGATCGGAGCCACGCGGAAAGTGGCCATCGATTCAGAAGGGCACCTGAGCGTCGCCCAGGAAGAGCTGCTGGCTTTCTCCGAGGAGCTGTCCAACCTCTATCATCACATCTGCGTGTGCAACAACCTGACGCCCAAACGAGTCACGCTGGATTTTTACCGGGAAGCACGGAGAGCTCACCTCATCTACCCCCAGCACGGCGCCCAGAAGAAGCCGCGAGCGAACGACATGTTCAACTCCAAAGCCTCGGTGCTGCAGTTCATGGGGGAGGTGGACAGCGCGGGAACCAGCACGGACTCTCCCGCATGTCCTGGATCCCCTACCCTGGACTTCAGGGACCCTTCAAATGTCTGCAACTTGGTAGCCGTCATCCGGTGCCAGATCAAACACCTCCGGGTAAGAAGCACTGATATTCACATATACAGAATGTCGGATTTAGATTATATATACTCATTTGAAAACAAAATCAGGAAATGGTTTTGTTGCAGCAGCATGTTGACACGGCTTTGAAAATGATTTAAAAATATCATTACCGTTACAAACACTGAGTAAATGTATACAAATCAACAGTAGAAATAATATGAATATCTGTAGAGTATTAATAGAATTTAAAATATACAAGAAATTGAATTCACTCTTATAGACCAACTTACTACTAAAACTAAATATATAAACATACATTTTTGCAAGAGTGCAAGATGTTATATAGTATTTATTTAAATGCAATGAGGTAGAGTTGAAGTAAAATAAGTACAATTGTCATTAAAAGGGGAAAAAGTGCAATCTGGTTAAATACAGACGCTATGGAGCTGGGCGTTTTCTGCTAGTCAGAGGTGAGGTGTTGTAAGGGAGTGAATCATCAGTCCTTCTAGTATCCAATAGTACCCTGAAAACTGTAACCATTGGAACTATCTCATGTTGCTTTGATCACTTGAAGTCAGGCTTCTTTGTTCTGATGAAGGTCTTCCCTTCATCAGAACAAGGGTTAGGGTTAGGGTTAGGGTTAGACATGTCTTTCCTGACCTAATGCTCAGCTCAGACGTAGTTGAGTAGCTCTTGTGCGCGCTTGGGTTTCAATGGATTAGATTACAAGGGTCAAAGAGGAGATGTGTCTGCTTCTAGAGAGAACATACCTTCAGGAAACAGCAGTGTGTCTGGAACACAGATCACGTGTGCTCTAGTCCAGATTTCATATTTGTTCATATCCAACAATGGCGAAGAAATTTTAAGCAGCAACTTAAAAAAAAGTGATATTTGATATGCAGTATAATAAAACAGTCTCAAGCTATTAGACACAAAAGTAAACCCTTAGATTAAGGTTTTTGTTTTTAATAATAACTCCACTTGTGTGTTCTGTAGGTGGCGGTGGACCTGTGCCGTCAGAGGGGCGCGATGCCGTACTCGGGGTTCAGCGACAGCGGAGAGTCGGAGCGAGACGCTGAGAGCCTCATGGAGGAAGTCCTGAAACTCAAGTCTCTCCTCAGCACCAAGAGAGAACAGATCGCTACCCTCAGGACCGTGCTGAAGGCCAACAAACAGGTCGGTCGCAGATAAACCTAACTACACTTTAAACTCTTTGAATGATTTGAAAACCATGTTAGTCTTGTTAAAGGCTGGTATTACACTTTAGGGTTAAGCTCTGAATCAACTTCTCCTGTCAGTGGTTGCTCTATTTTTCTGTTTTATTGTGTTGCACTGTTGGAGCAGCCTGTGACCTAAGATTGTCATCGTCATAACTACACTGTAGCTATGACGATGAAAAATAAAAGCCTTGAACTTAATGTAATAATTTCCAAGGCCAATATGTGGAATCCTTTATTGTTATATATTTATTCTAGGGCTTCAGAATAACTTAAACTTGTGAAGTATCCGAAAAGTAGGGATGCTCCGATCGCCAAATTTGGGGCCGATCGTCGGAATCATTATCGGCCGATCCGATCGAGTGGGCGGGGCCTATGGGGATCTTCCATTTAAAGTGATGTTTAAAACTCAGATAATGGGGCTCATTCACTGGCGCTTCCACAAACAACAACCAACATCATTATTACATTCAAATGAAGTACATTATTCAAGTTTACATTAACTTTGGAGAATAACACGGGGGAAATAACGGGAGCCTCTCTCTCTCTCCCTCCTGACAGCCTGTCAGTATCGTCTCATGCAGCTCACTGATCCAGTAATGAGTGACCCGACAGTGAAGAATAAATATATTTATAACTAGTGTAGCTTGTTCCAGAGGTAGATAAAATAGCTAAGTGTGTTAGGTTTAACTCTTGTGTGTGTTTTGCTCCGCTCACCGGTCCGTCACAGAGGGCGGAGCTGCAGGATTTCTGCTTCACACACGTTGCATACCGCTATTTTANACGGGGCTGGACCACGGAACGGCAGCAGAGTATGTTAAAAAGCAGATCTCCCCAACCCAGGGTCTCTGGAGGGGGGCGTGTATGTGTGTGTGTGTGTGTGTGTGTGTGTGTGTGTGTGTGTGTGTGTGTGTGTGTGTGTGTGTGTGTGTGTGTGTGTGTGTGTGTGTGTGTGTGTGTGGTCAGCGTTGGGTTCTGGTTCACTAATTTGTCTCATCTCTCAATTTGCTGAGCTCAGCTGTTTGATGAAATCACCATCACAGTCGGACTGAAGGATGTCCTGGTTCCCATTTTCTACAGGAACTCTCATTACTCTGTTCGCTGGTTGGTCCCTGTCAGATCCATCTGCTATAACTGATGTCCTTGGATCAATATCAATGACTGCTTTATTAATGTGTATGATTAATTTCACTGCTGTGTTTAACTCCTTTATTTACTGTTGGCTAGTTTAATCTGCAGCAATGCATCATGTTCTTCATCATATCTCTTCTCCTTCTTCCTCATCTCTCAAGTAAATAACAATTGTAATATAGTATTGTGATTAGTCCCTTGTTCAGCATTTCTTTCCTTTTTACCTTTTAATTCTGGTATTGTCTTATTATTTTATGTAGTTATTGATACATTTAAGAATTGAAATGTTAAGTTTGTAGGTATTTCACAAAAACATTTGAGGTCTTGTATGGATGTAATTGGATAAATCACGGGAGGGCACATAACTTAATTTTCTGCCATTCTGCTTTAACTTACTTCTAGTGCCTTGACTGTATGAATAATATTGAATTACTTAATGAATTTAAAAACAACATCAATGTGGACCTTTGTGGCTGCCGGCCTGGACATGGCCACCAGAGGAAGGTTATGTCACATCCCAGCGACCGCTCTCTAATCATTCAGAGGGTTTCCTTTTTCTTTTTTTAATGGTGGCTAATTGACAGTTCAGAGAAGAGTATAAAAAAAGCGAGTGGAGCTCAACTTTCTCAGAGATTGAAAAGCAGACGGACAAAAAAAGACCAGAAAGGAGGAGAAAATAGAAGCTGGTCATCGGGCTTTAACGTGACCGCACTGATAAAAACTTCATCCATCCTTTCTCCATCCTCAGTCCCTCCCTCCTCTTCCTCCTCTGTGCTACTTGTCAACAAGTGGGTAAAACTTTTCTTTCACAGTGTGAAGTAAGGGTGTGTGTGTGTGTGTGTGTGTGTGTGTGTGTGTGTGTGTGTGTGTGTAAAGCTAACAACAACGATCACCGGTACGTACACACACACACACACACACACACACACACACACACACACACACACACCCTTACTTCACACTGTGAAAGAAAAGTTTTACCCACTTGTTGACAAGTAGCNCGCCCCTTTGTAGCATATTATTTCGATGAGAGATGAGCAGATCGCCACTGGGCTTTCAACTAAATACACAGCCACGCAAAAACTGCGGCATTTGTACAGCTCCTTATGGGTACTGCAATTTGTGAAGTGCTTGGAGGAAAGCGGCAGAAAGTCACCTGGAGATAAAGAGAGCGGGGCTGCGCTGCGTGCATGGCTTCCTTCTGCAGGTAACGGGGAGAAGCGCTCTGGCGGCGGTCTCGTTCAGGATCCGAAAATACAATTTAAATATTTTTGCACACTTATTCCACTTATTCCTAGTGTTCCACTGGTTACGGTGCCGCGTGCCAGCACTGGCACGCGTGCCAGGGGTTGCCGACCCCTGGTATAGGGTGAGAAACGCCTGGATGTATACAACATTCAGCAAGAATGAGACCGAGTTTAATCCGAACCTCAGATTGGGAGCCTGTCCTGAGACTAGTTGCTGAGACAACTAAGGGCAGTTAATGCGACTAGGGGATTGTCCTGAGACTAAATGCCGAACCAGAGACTAACGGCGGGTCCCCAGGCTTAGGGCCGGTTCTGGGACTTAGGGCCTGTTCCTGACAAGGGACTGGTCATGAAAGCGTGGGCCGATCCTTATACTATGGGTCGGACCTGAGAAAAAAGGACCGGTCCTGAGACGAGAAGGCAGTATGACTAGAGGCAGGTCCGGAAACTAGGGGGTCTGTCCTGAGACATTAAGGTTAGTCTTGAGACTGGGGGCCGCTTCGATTAGCTGCAGGTCCCGAGTGGCCGGTACGACTAGGGTTGGGTTATGGGCCTAAGGGCCAGAACTGAGTCTTTGGGCCAAACCTGAGACTAAGGGTCAGTTTCTAGACAAGAAGCCAGTCCCGAGACCATGGGCCTCCCTCAGACTAGGGGCTGGTCCTGATACTAGGACCCGGACCAGAGACTAGGGACCAGACCTAAACCTAGGGGCCTGGCCTGAGACAAAGGCCATTCTTAAGACTAGGGGCCGGCCCTGATACTAGGGCCGGACCAGAGACTGGGAACCAGACCAAAAACTAGGGGCCTAGCCTGAGACAAGGGCCATTCTTAGGACTAAGGGTTGGTACTGAGACAAGGCGCCTGTCCTCAGATTAGGGGCAGGTCCTGATACTAGCGGCCGGTCAAGAGACAAGGAGCCGGACAACTAGGGGCTGGTCCTCAGACCTGGAGTGGGTCCAGTGCTGAGACCAGGCACAGGTCCTGAGACTAGAGGCAAGTCCTTAGACTAGGACAGTGGTTCTCAAAGGGGCATGCCAGGGGGGGGCGCAAGAGACCAAAAAATAATAATATGATGCAGTACTATTGTGTGTGTGTGTGTGTGTGTGTGTGTGTGTGTGTGTGTGTGTGTGTGTGTGTGTGTGTGTGTGTGTNNNTTGTCATGGCAACAGTATCCCCCTTTACCTCCCCCCTCTTCTCCACTCACTCCTTCCCTCATCAGTTTTCCCACAGAACAAAACCAACATTGTACTCTGTGTGTGTGTGTGTGTGTGTGTGTGTGTGTGTGTGTGTGTGCGTGCATGTGCGTGCATGTGCGTGAGACATTCAGGTCAGATTAGTTTGTGTTCATTGAGCCTGTGTTCAGGGTGAAACACACACATATATACTCTCGCACACACACTTGTCGCTCTTCATTCACTCACAATGTGCTGCTGATGAGAGGGCTACGATGCACGCCCACGCGCACACACACACACACACACACACACACACACACACACACACACACACACACACACACTTGTAGACAAGTAGTGCTTCAAATCAGTTGGATTCACACGCTGAGTGAGAGGTTCAACACTTCTTCTGAAACTTTCACACAGTTTTAAAGTAAACAGTTCAAAGAGGAAATGCGTTTTTACCGTCACAGTTTTCCAGATTCCCAAATAAATCCACAACCATTTAAGATCAGGACCATGTGCCGCCGTGGTCACAGTGCGAAATTCAACTTATATTGCATTAGAAATAAGGAATATGACAATCATGTCAGTCACTTATATATTTGTCTAAAAACAAACTTAGGGAGTGGCTAGTGTCTGATAAGCTGGGCTGAGGTGGTTCAATTGCTTATAAGAGACACATTTGGAGAGTTGCTTGATAGCCAAATACGAATTGTTGACTTCCTGTTTGCATCTGTGCAGAACCACATTGCTGATGAGAGATGGACAAACTCTAAATGAGGATTCTAATGAATTATTTTCCTGGTAAAACTGACTTTGGCCAACCTTTCCTAATTAAGGTCTTCTTTCCTGATTGATTTGAGAGAATCTGTCTAATTTAGCTCACAGATGTGTTGGCGTACTCCGGCACTAAGTCAGGGAGATCCATCAAGATAAGTGAGAAGAGGATGTGAAGCGTAGACTCACCTAACGGATAGATGTGGGACTCGAACCTGTGACCTTTCTGTTACGTAACAGTTGGTTCCCATCCAGTCTGTCCTAGAGATGTTCTCGCATGACCAATGGCGGTCTAGTCGCCCCTGTGTTTGTGTGTGTGTGTGTGTGTGTGTGTGTGTGTGTGTGTGTGTGTGTGTGTGTGTGTGTGTGTGTGTGTGTGTGTGTGTGTGTTTCTGCGTGTGTGTGGCTTCATTAGTGAACAGAGGTGGTCTGTTCAGTAGTTTGTATCAGAGGGGCGAGCTCTCATCACTACTAATGAGAACAACATCACCAACCTCCTGAAACACTCTGTCCCTCCAGCTCTCCATGAATCTCTCTCTGTTTCCCTACTTCTTTTCTTACTCACTTTTTAAAATGTCAGTTTACCTGAACTATATTAAACTTATTTTCTGACTTTCCTGGAGTATCGCTGGTCAGGTTTCCGTTGAAAAGTATCGCAAATTAAACAGAATTTTGAGGAAACTGGCAAAAGAAAATTTGAATGATTTCTGGTGCCCACCCACTTCCACTATGCGTAAAAGAACCACCAGATTGGCATTTTGGCCGTCGCCATCTTGTTATTTTTGGGACACAGGAAGGTGGAGCTATGGGTAACCAAATGCTTCAATATATTCTTGTCAGTGTTGTTAAAATAGACTTTCATGAACTGAAAACTGTAGTTTGAGTAGTGAGATAAAAATACGTCCCAGGTACAGGTAGCCCCGCCCCCAAAGCATACCCTGCTTTATTGTGACCATAAGATACAAAATGAACATCATGCTGCATTCAAGAAGACCTAAAACTAGCCATTGGGACCAAACATTTATTAGAAAAAGTGTTAAACATGGAAATAAATCAAGTCACAAGCAGTGTACATTCCTCATAGACTTCTATACAATCTGACAACCTGTCAGATGCGATTTGCCAAAACGTTTTGAAGTAAGCCTCAACTGAATCCAGATGATCAATTATGATAATATAAATGACCCCTTGAGCAAGGCACCGGACACCCCCCCTTCCCCCCCCCACTCCCATTGCTCCCCTGGCGCTGTCCAATAGCTGCCCACTGCTCTTAGTACTAGACTCCTGGTACTAGGATGGGTTAAAAGCAGAGAACACATTTCGCTGTGTGTGCTGTGTGACCAGAGGGTTTCATACCTCCGATTCAATTCTATTCTGAAATGTTATTATTGAGGTTATAGAACAAGCTGTCAGTAGGATAATTTTTTCTTAGACTTCTATACATTCTGACCTCTTTCTGTAACCTGTTGAAGTTTGTCGAGTGTGATTTGCAGAGCTGTTTTTGAAAAAGCCACAACTGAATCCAGATCATCAATTATATGATCTTAATTATTCTGAAATGGGCCTTTTTATTATTCAGCTTATTTATTACTGAGAAAGGGCTGTCTGACAGTGATCACGTTTGTGCCAGAAGTTTCTTTAAATAGTCTTTGCATCATTTTGTGGAGAGCAGGACAGAAGAAATCATTTTCCTTTAAATGGGTAAATCCTCTTCATGGGCTGTCGGGGGTAAAGAGGCGAAGACAAGGATGGAGGGGGGGCTCACATTGATTAGAATGGAGTTTGAGTTTCTAAATTAAAAGAACTGTGTGTGTGTGTCCGTGTGTGTGTCCGTGTGTGTGTCCGTGTGTGTGCGAATTTGGGCTGGGATCCCATGGCAACGGGACAGTAGTGAGGTCATTGATATGCAGCAGCCGCTCTGAGGAGAGAAAATCTTCTCTTCTCAGAGCGGATTCCTTTACACCGTTTAAAACGACATGACAGACACACAACAAAAAGCTTTAATGAGCTTCTGCATAAAGCACATTTTTCATGTTGTGTGTTTTATTTCATTTACGGTTTGATCTTGTGTTTTTGCTGCTGAAGCCAATATCTGAGTCCGTTCAACTCACATATTGAGTTACATTCAGACATTAATGAACTTGTTTCTTTTGTCTTTGATGATAACACCTCATCCAATTTTTAACATTGACATTTTGTATTCTTCTGTATTTAACTATGGAATATGTTGTCATATAGTTAATAACTTGCTTTAATCGTCAGTCTGATAGAGACCATATTAAATGTTCAAAGTAAAACAGCGTGTCTTCTGGATCGCTGAAGATAGCAATCATATTGAGTTGCAAAGGGTTCGCTGGTCCAGAATTGTTTATCCCAACTCTTTACACCCATTTGAATCTTTTCAGTATTGTGATTAAAAACGGGACAGATTGTTAGGCTTAGTGTTCAGATATTTCTTACCCAAAAGCATCATCTGACTTCTCTCCTTTGGTGTCTTTGATCACCGGCTTCTTGCCTTTTCTTATTTATCAAAGAACCAGATACTTTCTAACACAGTTGTTCAACCACGAGTTTCACAACCTAGTCATAAAAGAAGCGGGAAATCACAAAACATTGTCTTTTGTAAGAATGAATCGACCTATAGACACCCATAATAGCTTCTTCCACTTGTTACTAGCTTGCAGAACTAATAAATACATCACATGTTCATACTTGCCAACCTTGGGACTTCAGAAATCGGGAGCATTTCAAAACCACCACGGGGGGGGCTGCTAGTGGTTCGCCGGAGCTGTATTAGATTAACATTAACATGCTTATTGTAGTTGTAAGTGCACTGTCTTGAAGGAGCATATGTGTGGGCTGGACCTGTATTATAGGAAAGGAGTGAGCAGAGGGTAGAGTTGTTGATTCTTGTTCTGTTTTGTTCTTGTATCTGCCTCACCCTCTCAGAATTTCAGTTGCACGCGCTACTAAAGAGACGCGCTACCATGGAAACCAAACAATGGTGTAGCTGTATTAAAGTCCGAGTGGAAACAGTCCTGAGTAAATCGGATTTAGTCAGAAATCGGGAGAAATATGACCCCGGGAGGAAACCGGGAGAGGGCAATGAAATCGGGAGTCTCCCGCGAAAATCGGGAGGGTTGGCAAGGCTCTATCCACTGCGCCACACGCCTCCAAAGACATGTTACGGTTATTGTCAGTTTGCTCAGTCACATCAAAATTGCATCAATAAATTCTCCAGACAAATCCAGTTTAAATTGCACAGCTTTATTTATAAATTACCACCTCTACATCCCAATGGTTGGTTTATGCCTTGTTCACAAGATAAAAACAACCTTCAGAGACACTTAAAAAGACAAATATAAGACAGGCACTAAAGTTAATCTGTTCTGTGAGGGCACTCAATGTCAACTTCATTCACATTTACAAGGAACTCAAACACGACACCAGTGGGACTCGAGCTGTTAGTATGTCTTGTTTCTTTTGTGCAAAATTGGAAACAAACATCTTGACCTTCTGTAGATCGGGGCCACTGTAAAAGTGCTGTATCAAACAGTGAATTTTAGCATCCAGACGCTCTAGCTCTTTCTCCATATTGGAATTTCAAATACAAAGTAACTATTCAGTGTAAAACATATGTTTGTTGAATACAAAATTAGTCAGACTTCTACTCTTGTTTCTGAATGCGTTGATTTCTGTAGATTTAGCTGAGGGCTGAGGAGGCACTAAGGCACAGGCGGCTCTGACACATACTTATATGGATTTGACATTGTGAAACTGAGCATTACAAAGGCATAAACATTCTTGTGACATAGAAAAATGACTATCTCTATTCCCTTCACACAGAGATGTAATTAGTTGTAGATCTAACATTAAAACAAGCTACATTCATAACTTCTGTTTCTTCGTTTTTGTTCTAGTTGTTTGACAGTCTGAGTGAAAAGACCGTGCTAGAGACATATTAATATGCTTTAAAATGTACTACACAGTTTAACTTCCTGTACAAAGACACAGCATCAGCACTTATAAGGTCTTGGTCCTGTTCAAAACTCCTCCCTTTGCTTCCTTCTGAAACAGTCATTATTCTTCCCAGAAACACAAGTTGTAAAAATAATTTGACTATAAACAGTTCAGCTTCGTCCATTTCATCCATAGTTTGCAAACAGATAAAGACATATTCTTTCATAATCATGCTCACAAAGCTCTGATTGGTTGATTGTTGTTACATAGAGACCACTTTTTATCTGAACTCTGACCAGGGTTGACATCTTACACAAGTAGCGCACAACAAAATATGTCAAACAGATATGGACAACCTCACTTACTGATGGTTTCTTAATCTCTCAAATTAGACGTTTGTTGGCGTGTTTTCGTCCCCTTTAACCTAGGAGGTTTGGTTTCTAACGGATTCACGCCAGGCAGTGGAAATAGTTGTCATATAGTTATTTTTAATAGCTCTTCATAGACGTCTACCTATTTTTTCTTGATAGTTTGACAGATGGACCAATGATCAATGGCCCCACAGGTTGTGACAATTTCAATATACAATGCTTCAACTGTACTCTTTTCAGCAAATTAGGTTAATAGTCAGAGCCAAAACTAGGAAGTTACTAACTTGATTCTACACTAAACCAAAATATGTTTGTGTGGCACTAAACAACCTCAAAGCAGATTATTTTTTACTCCTCATCAATCTTTCATCACAGTTTGAAACTACTCATTTAGCCTTTACACAGTAGATCTTCCTTATAGAAATATCGCATTCAGCTTCAGACCAACCAAAGAAGACATCCAGGATTTTCTTATCATACATTTTTACACCAATTGGAGGAAAGTGTCCTTTCGGAGGGTCCTGAAACGGGCTCCTGGTTTTACAACAGGTGGTTGTGCAAGAACAGCAAGTTTTCTAATAATCACTACGGATTAAGCATCACTTCCTGTACAGACAGGAAGCTGAAAGGGGTAACACTGTGTCCATAAAGGAATATCATACAAATGGAAACTCTGAGAGAAGGAGAGAGGACAGAAAAAGATGAAGAAAAGATGGTCGTTGGTCAACAAGCGTTGTGGAGAAGAAAGGATAAAGGAAACTGAAGCGTTAAAGAAACCTTAGGGTAGAAGAGAAACAGAGTTTGAGGATAAAAAAGAAGATAGGTTGTTTTATGGAAGAGGAGATGTTGGATGCTATAGCTCTAGCTGGAGATCGACAAGATGGCTGAGGTTTCTTTAGCCTTGTCGAAGAAGATGGACGTCTCATTGGCCGCCTTCAGTTTGATATTTGGTGAGCCTTGAGTCGCGTTCGGCTGACATTCCTGACAGCAGCAGCAGCAGCAGTCCATGAAGGCCTGACCGAGAGCCTGGAACACAACGACAAGCAGTCAGAGCTGTCCGTCAACGGCTTTCAAAGAACTATATTACTGTAACCACTCTAACTATTACAGCTGGATCTGAACAGGCCAGAGGTTTGATGTTTAAATGCAAAAAATAGTGTGCATCAATTTTGCAAAGGTTGGTCAATTAATGCAACCAACCTTCTACCACACCAAACAGTATATTTAAAGGACTAGTTGTCAAGTCTGTCTGTTGAAGCCACACCGCTAAAGTAATTGACAAAGTGAGGGTAGCCTATCCATCTGCCCAAGATTCTTTGTCTCGGACGTTATCTCATGACGTTTTTCTGAGTACATGTTTTAGTCTCTGCCCAAGCAAGATGGTACACAAGATATCACTTTTAAAGTTTCTAGGGATGCCTGATGTTATTGGCATGTTGTTGGTATTGGCAGACAAAGGCTATACAAGGAAATATCGGCAACGGCATACATTGGTGTTAAGTTAAACTTCTATTAGTTGTTTTCTTATGTTGCCCAGTTAATGTGTTGGTCTTAAAAGCAGTGTACATCACATTCATATCTACAGGAGAGACCTTGTGTTCTTCTGCAATTAGATGGAACAATATGTGAGTATTTTGGTATATGCATTGCCAATTTGCCAAATTAAGTTGGAAAAAATCGGCGAATGGGACATCGGCAAAAGCCCTATATTGTTAAGAGTCCCTTTTACTTGGGACGTGTGATTGTGCAAGTGATGTCCGCTAAATGCACCAGTGAAGTCCCATACCTTATAGTTACATATAGTTACATCATTGGGTCTTAAAGCTGTGTGTGATCAGTTCTTGTTGAAGAGGACCAAAAGGGGTCCCGTTAAAGTTAACAATACTTTATTTTTAACAGCTTGACCTACCTTGCACAGACACAGCAGCAGGACCGGTGTCACTGATGACTTAAAGAACAACAGGAAGTGATGCAACAGAGCCAGCATGGAGGCAGTTTCCTCAGAGATGGAGATGTTAGCGTAGGCCAGCGTGATGTTACAGACGTGTTCGGGCAGAGCACAGACGCCGTAAACCACCGCCAACGCCAGCAGGGTGCAGTTCAGCTGCCGCTCCAACGCCTGGTGCTGCTGGCGCTTCTGATTGGTCGAGCGATCGTCATGGCTGCGCTGCTTTTGGGTGGAGCTGGAGTCGCTGTTGACGTTGCGGGTGGCCATTTGGCAGAGGACGGTGAAGAGGATGGGCAGGCAGAAGTAGCAGCCGAAGCACCACCACATACGCCCCTGCAACAGAGAACAGCAAACTTCTGATGACCTTGTGGAGCATTTTGGAAAACTTCTGGTACTTTATGGTTCTGTAAAGTACTTTGTTTGATCAACTTTCAAAAGTAAATCAGTAAGCATTCATATCTCTAACTGATTCATGTGACAGTTAAAGAAACCTTGTTATTTTATCATTTCTGGTCTATTCTGAGTACGCTCATCATTTCCAATGTCAGTCACAATAAAGATCTAGTACTCAATCCCAAGAGAAACTGAGCCAATGAAGAGATGGAAGATGTCAGGTCTACTTCCAGAACTACTTTGGTGAGTTAGTTCCTTAAAGGTCCCCTATTACACTGTTTTTCATCAATATATCACAGGTCTCAGATATATACAGAACCTGTCTCTGATTGGCTGAAACACCAAACAGATCATTGTTCAGATCATCCCATAATCCCCTCTGTTTCAGCCCTGTTTCCAAAGTGCTGATTCTCTGTCTGTTACTTTAGATGAAAATAAGGAGCCCCTCCCCACGCCCCTCTGAGAGACATTTGGTTAAAAAGAACTCCATGGTGCTCTAGGAGGAGATTCAGGTGANAAATGCTGCACTCGTCCGTATTGGTCTTTGGATTAATTGTGCTGCTCTATTGGGATAAACTTAAGAAAAGTGATGTTAAAGTTCTGTGTGTGAACGTTTTTTAAATGCATGTAAGTTGCTTTGGATATAAGCTTCTAACAAATGACATTGAGACATGACAAATGTCGTCTAAGACAGACAGTCTAACCACCCATCCTTCTATTTAAAGGTCACCTATTTTGCTATTTTGAGGCAATAGCATAAGTCTCAGATATATAAAAATATATAAAAAACATGTCTATGAAGTGTTTTGCTCAAAATACCAAACAGATCACCCATTCTAGCCATGCCTCATATCCCTCTATTTCACTTCCTGTTTCAAAAGGGCTGATTCTGAAAAAAAAAAAAAAAGGAGGGGGCTGAGCTCATGCGGGACCCGGCAGCTATTGTCTAAACTAAATACTGCGGTGATGAAACACCATATCATGGATTATCAAGGATTATTTCTGAAACAGTATGGAGCTCAAAGGCTTTCTCTCTTGCCGGTTATACCACAAGGTGAGTTCCTTTTTATTTCCTGCTTCTTCACACACATGCTCTCCAGTACAGGTTAGCTCTGAGTGTTAGCGATGCTAATGTAAACACAGACCATATTACGTCCAAAACAGTCGGGCATTGTTTCTGATAGCAACGTTTCTGATAGGGCCGTGGGTCCACATTTCAGATATTACGTCATATCGGACGCAGATCTGGATCAGCTTCATTGTTCCCCCGTTTTTAGAGATTTGGGTACGGAGGAAAAGAGAGAGGGTTTTATTTTCTGACGCTGTGTGAGTTCCCTGACACACCGGGAACACATGTTTATGTATAAAAGACATCAAAAAGTGCATTTTGCATGATAGGTCCCCTTTAAACTTTAACCGACATGTTGACCGGCAAATACAATTCTAACGGAAACTCTGATAAATACAAAGTATTTAAATTATTTATTAGGTACATTTTTTCTTCAAGTGATGCTATCTCTATAATTACTTCAAATGACAAGATTTATGAAATACTTTGCAGTCATTTTCTTAAAAAAAACTTAGATTTTGGAAATCCAGAATCTAAGTTTTTATGCCAAAAATGAGTTTGACCGTGGCTTTATATAACCTGCATTTAACCATACATGGAAAATATAGGCTGATGCTTATCATAAGCATTTCTTAAGAGTATGGCTGATTTTATATGTACACGTTACATAAACTAAGGTTACAAAAGCTAGATGGATTGTTGTTTTCTTTTGTTTGAGTAGACGGTCTGATCATGAAAAAAAGAGACCACAAAAATGCAATAACTGTTCCAAAGAAAACACGCTGCAGCTGGGATTGAACCCTCAGTCACAACATGTCACTTTCCCTTCCCTTCTCTTCTCAGTCTCTGCTGATGGTCGGTGTTGTTGCACTGACTCTGAGTTCCTCTGGATCAGAGCATTGATTTTATATTGAACCTCCTCTCTGTTTCCCTCCAGCCTGCAGAAGTATGTCCGTGAGCAGATCCTTCTGGCGGTGGCAGTCATCGTGAAGAGAGGCTCTCTGGACAAAAGCATCAACTGTAAAAGCATCTTTCTCGAGGTCGGACAGCTCATCAGCAGCGGGAACACCACCGTGGTGAGAGAGATCACACATGTATCAGTTAAATGTATTTCAATAGATTAGTGACAATCGTTGTTCACAGAGCTGTACCAGATCGGATTGAAGGCTTTTCTTTTGCACAGTGGCAGATAAAGATTAGGCTAAGCTTGTAATATTGGTTTTACTCTATTTATTGAATTAGATTTCAATGATGGCAGCAGTGGATTTTTTTCCGAGACGTTTGACATTATTAATAACTTAAAGGTGGGGTAGGTAATTCACTTCAGAAACACTTGTTGTTATATTCCATGGAATGCTCTTAACACCCCGATAGCAATGAATATATTAAATGCTTTGACAATAAATACATACACAAATGTCCTCTGTGGAAGCCGTGGCGCTGTAAAAAGCACGACCAATCATCTGAGCCGGCCCGGCTAAAATAACTGGATGGCCTACCTGCCTGTCAGCCTTCCATCTGTGCACAAACTTATCTCGTGCCCTCATTGGTCATGTGCGCGCTCGTGTGTGTTGGAGGAGGGGCTCTGTGAGGAAGTTGCAGATTTTTTTTCGGCTGTGTACTTTCAAATTGTAGCGCACTCCAGCTGGTTTCTCCATTCTTACCTACCCTACTTTTAAGAGCCTTGTAAAGTCCCAAATTCAACATTGCAAAAATATAGATCTAATAATTTCAAAATGCACTTACTTTAAAAAAAAGTATTCCTCCTAAATCCATTCTTGTTGGCATTTGTAAAAATGTTTGTCAAACTACATTGGCTTGACTAGGTGTCACTAGGTTGCTCTTTATTTAAAAACAAACTGGACATCTCCTCTCAATCCAGTGGGTGGCAGCATTTCATTTGTTTCCCCAACTATACCCAGAACTAGAAAAGGACAAGCATGCACAAACCCAGCCGGAGGAAGTGATCAGGGAAAAAGCCATTAACTATATTTTACAAATGTGACTTTCAAAATAGAATGCACTCATTTTGAAAGACCTTTTCAAAGTCAACACTTAATATGGGTGAGTTAGCTGCTTTTCTTTTTTTTAAACTTAGATTTGATTATTTTCATGAACTTAAATAAAACAAAAGTAGTGTCAGAGAGGTCAAAAAAGATAAACATTACATAGACCTTGTCAGGGTTCGGATCAATAGTGACTCAGTGAGGGGTCTTATAGGTAGTCCATTTAAACAGTTTATTTTCAAACCCTGATTGTTGAGTTGGCTGATTTTCAATTTCTTTTAGATTCATAAAATGGGAGTGTGTGTATTGTCCTTTTTTAAAACACTTCCCAGTTCTAGTAGGATGAGTGTGGTGTACAGGTTAGTTGCTGCTCAATGCCTGTGATATTTCCCACTGTGCTGTATAAGTGTACATGTTTTTAAAATAACTGCCATGTATGGAATAAATAAATAAATAATAACACCTCCCTCTGATGCAGCAAACCCTGGCCTGCTCCATCCTCACCGCTCTGCTCAGCGAGTTCTCCAGCTCCAGCAAGACCAGCAGCATCGGCCTCAGCATGGAGTTCCACGGCAGCGTCAAGAGGCTCTTCCAGGTCTGATCTCCAGTTCCTGTTCTGCTTTTCACCTCTAGCAAAAAGCTGTTATAGGGTCTGTTAGAAAAGTATCTCTCGTCACCGGCTTGAGCTTCAATAATCAGGATCCATGTATCTGTGATCCTCTCAAGAATGGAAGTAGTCATCAGATACAGAGCATCAACTAGTTCCTGAGCAGTGTCCTCACATGCTGATATACAAGAGAGGGAGTTACACATTCCTCCATCTTGTGACTGTGTAACTCCCTCTCTTGTATATCAGCATGTGAGGACACTGCTCAGGAACTAGTTGATGCTCTGTATCTGATGACTACTTCCATTCTTGAGAGGATCACANTGATCACTACTTCCATATTGAGAGGATAATAAATACATGGATTTTGAGAAAAAGTCAGAATTTAGAGAAAAAGTCAGAATTTTGAGATTTAGAGAAAAAGTCAGAATTTTGAGGTTTAGAGAAAAAGTCAAAAAAAAAATTAGATTTAGAGAAAAAGTCAGAATTTTGAGATTTAGAGAAAAAGTCAGAATTTAGAGATTTAGAGAAAAAGTCAGAATTTAGAGATTTAGAGAAAAAGTCAGAATTTTGAGATTTTGAGAAAAAGTAAAACATTTGAGATTTTGAGAAAAAGTCAACATTTAAATTGTTTGAGAACAAGTCAGAATTTTGAGAACAAGTCAGACTTTTAAGAGAAAGTCAGAATTTTAAGAGTAAGTCAGAATTTTTTGATTTTGAGAAAAAGTCAGAATTTTTTGATTGTCTGAAAAAAGAC